AGTAGGCAGAAGAGCTATGCTGATCGTCGCACTCGTGCTTTGGAGTTTCGGGTTGGGGATCAGGTTCTACTCAAAGTGTCTCCTATGAAGGGTGTTATGCGTTTTGGGAAGAAAGGGAAGTTGTCTCCTCGGTTTGTCGGTCCATTCATGATTACGGATCGAGTGGGAGCTGTGGCTTATCGGTTGGCACTTCCGGATAACTTGGATTGCGTTCACAACGTGTTTCATGTTTCCATGTTGCGACAATTTCTGCGCAATGAGGATCGGTATCAGCATATCGATGTTGGGGAGATTGAGTTGCAGCCGGATGCAACTTATTTGGAGCCACCATGTCGTATTGTTGACCGTCGGGATCAAATCCTTCGCAATAAGGTTATTCCTTTGGTACGTGTTCAGTGGAGTCATCACAATGAGGCTGAGCCCACTTGGGAACGGGAGGATGTCATTCGCTCGCAGTTTCCTGAAATATTGGAAGAAGATAAGAGCGAATTCCTAGGACGAAATTCCTTTTGTTAGGGGGGAAGAATGCAATACCCCTAATTTCAAAAGGATAGTCCTGGTATTTAATTTATGTTTTAATTGATTTTTTTTTTTTAATTATTTGCCTTATTTGACTTATTTGTATTATTTGAATTAATTAAATGGTGTTTGAATTTTAAATTGTTTAACTTGTGGATTGGTGTTTTATTTGCAATAATTGATGACTTGTTGTTTAATGGTGATTCTGTGAATTAAGTAATTATTACATTGTATTTTATTTTCTGTATTACGTTAGATTGGACTTTATCATTTTCTTTAATTGAATTGATGATTAAAGGTTTTAATTTAGGAAGTAATTTAGGAAGTATTTTAATTAATTATTTTTCATAATTTAGGTTTTAGTTTTTTAGCCGACACAGGTTTTAATTAAACTCTATGGGCCGGTTAGGATTTAGTTAGGGCTTGAATTAATTTAGGGTTTGGTATAACTCTATAAATATATGGGTATACGTCTGCCTAGGGTTTTTGATAAACCCTACTCACCACATTCAATAACAGAGTCACGTAATAGAGTTATTCAGAGAGTTGTGAGGGCAGAGAAACAGAGAGGGAGCTTGTATGGTTTACTGAGAGAAACTTTAGGAAATTAAGGGAGGGATTCAAGGAGGAGTTTTGGTCCTAACTAGGAGTGGCAGAGGTTGATAACAGCAAGTTGACATTGCCAGAATTTATAGAGATGGTGAATTATAGTTTCAAATCTGAAACTGCAGGCAAGTCTCTGTCTTCTCTCTCCCGTTAATTCGTGTTCTGTGCATGCCTAGTTAGACTCCAGGAATTAATCAAACATTAAAACAGATTCAACGAATGTTATAATTCATCTTGTATGCATGTTGAATCAGTATTTTGTTTCTATTGAGTTAATCTGTTTGATGTTGCTTAAAAGTTTTAACAGAAATCTTGTTGCCGATTATTTTAGCACTTATGTTAAATTCCTGTTGTGATTGGATATCTATGTTTTAGTATTAGTTTGAGATATTTAAATGAACCCTAGCATAAGTTCTTAAAACAGTAATGAAGATCACCAAATAAATCTGTTGTGGGTTGCTTAAAGTTTCAGACTAAGGTTTTGTAATCGTTGCTTCTAAACCTATGTTTTATGCATGCTATCATTGAATATCAGTGGTTTAATATGTACCTAGGACTGAGATTGAACCTAGAATGAGAATTAAAACATGTTACAGAAGCTCTGGTAATCACCGGAATTGGAGAAGACGAAGCTGGAACGGGCAACGGCGGCTAGGGGAAAAGTGAGCAGGCTCTCAAATATCTTAGAGCCGGCTCCAAACTTATTTGGAGGCGGCTCCAAGTGTCTTTGAGCCGGCTCTAAGTGGTTTAGAGCCGGCTCCAAAAGAAAAATAGAGCAGGCTCCAAATTTTAGAGCCTGCTTAATCTTAAAACGCACAGAATTGAAGTTTTAGGGACTTTTGGCTGAAATTGGTTTTTCTAAAATTATTTAAAGGCTACTGGATGTTGTAATTTAATGTTTAAGACTTGTAAAAATGTTGGGAAGCATGATTACAAGTAGGAATTGAGGACGGGATTAATCTAAGATTAAACAGTGAACCCGTATGTGGATGATTTGAAAATTAATTTCTGTTGTCTTCTATTTTTGGAACTTTATTTCTCTGCATGACTTGGATTTATAAATCATGTTTTGCAGCTGTGTTATAAGCATACTGTGATATTGTTATATGTATGCTTAGTTGGGATCAACTGGTGTTAAAATCTGTTTTACATTGCATCAGTTATGGTACTGTTTGGAGAGGTAGACTGTGTAACTCTACTTTATCAATTTAACGGACTGTAATTGGGATTCTAAATCTTATATTGAATGCATAAGTTGGTTATATACATGTTAAACTATATTTATGCTAATTCTGGAGTATGGTTGATAAATACTTATTCCTATTTTTGTCAACTTCGTTAACTGGAGGATTGTATATACCGGTATGGGACGGTGACATACTAGGTATGGACTTGTTCAAACACTGAGTTCTACCTAACTTGGATTAAGGTATGGATTAATCATATAGGTTAAGTCCATCACCTACTTGTGTCATATCAATTGAGAATTGAATGACCTACTATAGTTTCAGGATGAATTTGTTATACATATATCAGACCACTACATAGATGGATGGTGTTTTGTATTAGGAGGAGTACGGACTTTATATATATATTATATGGTGCCGTGGTATGAGCTTGAGTCTCATGACCATGGTTAGGGCACGTATATTGCCTAGGATGGATAATTGGACATAGGTGTTATTCCCAGGTAGGTCTAGGTACTCATGCCCACCTTCGGGTGCGTATTCGCATGTTGCCTTCTATTCAGGCTGAGACAGACCTACTAGACTAGCGAGCGTCCTATAGTGTGTACTATATACATATATTGACTACTCTAGATATTGTTGAGTCTTCCTAGGATGTATCTGCGTATCGGATTACTGTTTGGATTGTAGTAGATCAGGACTTGCATGTGGGCCTGACCCACTTCTTTATTTTTCAAGTGCTCGTCAGTTCCAGGGTTAGAGTTTGGACGTGCAGAGCAGATACAGCTATTCACTCCTCCGATTATGTAGGAATTTTCTCTATGTTAGCTTTGGATTTTGTTTTTATTATTTCAGTATCGTTTGGAGAATTTAAATAAGGGGTCCAATGGATGGATTCCCGAGTTGTAAACTGATGGAGTTTTGGAGTTTGAGTTTGATGGATTTTAATAATTATAATATTTTGCGGATTCGGTTTTAGTTCCTTTCAGCTTTAATTTCATTTCTTAATTCATTTTGTATTCCGTGTTCATTATAAATATTTTAATTGTTTGATATTCCCTCGGGCTCGGGCCTGGGCCTGATCAACCCGTGTCTCAGATCCGAGGGGTATCACATCGGTCGACTGAACCTCCCCTCCAGCCAATCGACACCCATACTGTAGCAGAGTCCAGAGAGCATTCATTTTGTTAATCGTTTCAGCCGGCCGACCTGACCGAACCTGCCCTGTCAGCCGGCCGACCAAGGGCCATCAGCCCGTTGATCCTTCCCTTTTGACCTGCACAGTTGATCACCTTGTAAAAATGAGTTCTTGGAGTATTTTGGGACCCTAGATTGATTCGTGTGGCAGGTATGGACACGACACAGGAAATGGATGGTATGACCTAGTTAACCTTAGGTTCGGGTAAGGACCCGGTTAACTATTCGGAACCACGGGTTCTGGTCGTTACATTGAGTATATATATATATATATATATATATATATATATATATATTAGTGGATGTATGGGTAAGATCTTTGTGAAACTAAAAGAACCTATATTTCAATGCCATTTAAAGTTCAAAGTGAAGCATGTGATTTAAAAAATAAGCTGGAATCTACTGAATTCTAACCAGATCCCAATTTGTAATAGCCGACGATTTCTAAATAAATTGAAATAAATCTTAAATTCGAGTAAATCCAAATCACTCTTACCTTGAAAATCAAGGTTTTCCCAATACGACCAGCAGGGTGATTCGTAGCATACTCATATCCCTGGTCAAATTCCTCTCAATCGCCACTATATCGCCGAATACATTCTGAATTGCGGTTGAGGTCACCAGTGCCAAATCGAATGGACACAATTCCATTTCCAAAGGCAAATGCACATTCAAATCACAAACACCCATCAGAGCCCTCGCGCATGGCACGAGCCGGAGCAACTCTTTGGTGCTTCCGCTCTTGCTGAAGAGCACCAAAGATTGGAATTCGGCGATGATTTTTGGGAAGCGGAGGACTGGAGAAGGTTGAAGAGGTAGTGGAGGTGACCCACGTCGGCGATGAGGACGCCGGAGAGATTAAGCCCAGAGAGGTTCTTGTCAGATTTGATGCTCTTCCAGGAACTTGGCGATTCGAGCTCATTAAAGAGGTTGCCGGTCAGAGAAATCTGATGTTTATGGGTTAGTTATGCTTGCAATCTTGCACTTGAAATCTGCCAGCCTTGTTCGTCTTCATAGATTGGAAACCTAGATCATGATTCCAGCGCCATCATCACAAATTTTTTATTTTTTTTAGCTACCCTTTTTAGTCATTTCACAAAATATTAATTATATATATATATATATATATATATATATATATATGGCATTTTAGTCATAAATGTATGAGTAGGACCTATTTGCACAAATGTCATAGTTTAGGGATATTTTTTGCACGCGAAGGGTGCAATATACACTGTAAGCATACTATAGAGTGTTTTTTGCACTTCAGGCTTCACACGCATATATATAATCCATTCTGTTCATAAAGCATCTAGTAAGTGTTTGCAATACTGATCGATCAGTCAACAACTTCCAAGATAAAGAAGGTGATTATAACACTATTGTGCAAATTGATTCATAGTCGTACTCTCTTTAGTAAAAGAAAGATGTGAATATATAATTAATAGAAAAGAAGAAAGAATTGGGGTGGAGATCAAGAAATGAACTAACTAGAATAGATGAAACGCTGCCAAAAGTTGAGGCGACATCCACTCCTGAATGCAGATGCCTTTCTAGCTATTGCTTTTAGAGGATAGTCATTATTTTCAATTCTCATGAATTTTGTACTCAAATCAGGGTGGTGATGAACCAAATCCAGAGCCACGTCTGTAAAAGTACAATTAATTACTTACGTACACAATTATATTGATCATACATATATATATATATATATATCAAATCAAGTTACTAATTGATTAATTGATTTCTTGAAGCTAGAGAATAAATCTTGCTTACTGACCATAGAATCCAGAAACTATTAGTTGAACGAGAAGCAGGACACCAGAATAATGGTCTGCATACGGAGTGGGATGGTGATGGTCTGTGGTTGCCTTCATTAAATATAAAAGTGTTTCCTTGTGGGCATACAAGGCAGCCAAGTGAACTGGAAACAAACCATCATTATTCTTCATTTGAAGCAAATCTGGGTTTTTGTCCACCAATATAATTGCAGCTTTTGTGTTGCCCAACCTGGCTGCAACACTGAGGGCTGTGTCGTTTCGAAGATTTTGTAAAACAAGTGCCTCCTTTGGCATTAGTTCTACCAACTTCTCGACAAAATGAATTGATCTACCTGTTCCGACTGCTCTGTGGAGTAGTGTTTCGTGGTATCCATTGATATACGCTGTCGCCATATCTTCATCTTGGGCCCTCTCCCAGTCGTCTTTCATTGTAGCTTTGTACACTGCCAGACGCCTTCTTAAATCTGATTAATTTATTATTGTACCAAATAACAATTAATTAATGAGAGGTCATTGGCGCTCCAAAAAACAGAAAGACAAATACTATAACCTTCAACTTTCCATTCAATGTAAAACTTTGGGATTTTTTTTTTTTTTCCTCTCTCTCTCTCCTGTCTTTTTCTTTCTCCGTCTGAATGATTATTCTTCTTCAACAAACCCATCATCTATTTAATCAATTAATCACCTTTTCAAATAACTCAAGCCCACCTTTCATGATGTCCAAATGATTCTTGTTCCTCTTTAGCTCTCATGTCGTCCCTTTAATAATCGTTTTTTTATTTTTTATTTTTTATTTTTTTGACTTTCTTCTGTACGACATTAGGTCGTCACCATCTTTATTTTGTTTAATTCTCTTATAATAAAAAATGAAAAAAAAAAAAAAAAAAATCCAACTCTAGAAGAAAATAAGTGCACAAAGTGATTTGCAGTTTGCTTGAATGGAATGGAAGAAGATGGCTGTAGTTTGATTAAGATTTGGATCTTTTGAGTTTCAAGTTTCAATCTTTCCAAAAAAATAAAAAATGAAATCAGACAGCATACATGCATGCAGCATAAACAGGAAAAGAGGGGTCACCGACGCTAACTAGTGGATTTTTAAGGGAATACTTAAGGGGTACTTTTGTTATTTTATTATTATTGTAATTTTTTTATTTTTTTTTCCTTCGAGCACGTGCCCCACAACAGACGCATTATCCAAATCAGGAGTGCAATTCGAGAACAGGATCTTAAAAACTTACTTTCCGAATCTCTGTCAACCCCCCAGGGACTCTAAAAGTTAATTTTAGAGCGCAAATATCATTATCTTAATTATGTAGATCTTATATTTAATTTTCAAACAAAGAGTTCGACTTTTTTGGTATAAAAATTCATGCTAAAATAAGTTGACTACTTTGACATTAAATTTGTTTTCTGTGATCACTTTAAATTAATGAATATATATACAAGCACATATATACTTCACCATAATTAGTACTATAACGTTCTCAAATTAAAAGTAATTTAAGGAAGCAGGGATATATCAGGCAACTTACCAGGCGGACCACCGATATGGGCGTGAGACGGTTGTTTTGGAGTGGAAGATGATGCCATTCTACCTCGCAAGTAATAATCAATCAGTCCTACTTACTGGGTGTGTGTGTGTGTGTGTGTGTGTGTGTGTGTGTGTGTGTGTGTGTGTGTGTGTGCTGATCGAAATTTTTACCATATAGAAGCACCAGGCAACAAGCCTACGAAATGGGGAGTTTGACAAAGAGTCCCAATAATGATGAAAGATGCACCAGGCAACAAGCCTACGAAATGGGGAGTTTGACAAAGAGTCCCAATAATGATGAAAGATGTTTTTAATCTTAATCAGCAAGCAAGAGAGAAAACATTTATCTATATGCGTGTGAAATGGAAAGTACGAGGTGGGATACAAGTAGTGAAAGGGAAAGAAAGAAAGAGTGACAAGGAAGTGAAAAAGAATAGGAATCAAATAGTGAAAGGGAAAGAAAGAAGGAGTGACAAGAAAGTGAAAAAGAATAGGAATCAAATAGTGATAAAAAAAAAATAATAAATAAAAAAAGAAAAAAAAAAAGAAAAGAAAAGAAAAGAGAATCACACTTTCTTTCTCTCTATCTGGACTCTTTAGCTTAAATACTCCGTAATAGAGAAACAGAATGAATCCCATGACATTTTATTTTATTTTATTTGATAACAATGTATACTTTTAGAGAAATTATTTAGTAGCCCCGAGGTACCCATCAGCGTGCCTATATGCTACCCCATCAAATTAAAACATGCCATCCGGTTATATTTCAATATCAGCACCAAACTCAACATGGCAGCAAGCCCACTAACGGAGACATCAACTCCGTCTAAAAATTCAAGTTTTCAATCTACCTCTGCAAATTCAAATTTCAATTCAATCTTAAATTTCGAATTTAAGATTCAAACCTAAATCTGCCCTCCATCTCACTTTCTCTCTCTCATCGATATCTTTTGAGCAGCGTTACATTGCCAAAAGACAACTAAAGAATTTTCAACGAAATTCTTGCTTGCGAAAGAACAATGGGTACTGACGGTGAGTCCCGTTTCTCTATGTTATTATGTCATCACTCTATAATGAAGTTGGGGATACATGAGATTTCCAAGTTGTTAGGATAATGGCTAACATGTGGGAGCCACCTGTAACGACCTGAACTCGTGATTTCGAATCACTAACCGGGTCCTTACTCGAACCCGAGGTCAATTAAGGATACTACCATTGTTTCCTATTTCAATGTATATTATACGTGTTATTCCAGGGTTTATAAATATATAATAATAATAATAATAATAATTAAATGAGATCATAACTACAAAGTATATCAAAACAGTCCACTAAATCATCAAGACGTGTGGAGGAGCGTCGTCCGCCAATTCTTTCCTGTATCCTGAAAAATGTTAGATAATGGGGTGAGCTAAACGCTCAGTAGGAGATGCCTAAGACACACCTCTTATGATCCCGTGAATCCATGTATAGAATATAAATCAAGATAACGAGATCATACTATACCGGGGATACAATCCATAACCACAACGTCAAATATAATCACAATTGTCATTCAAGTCACAATTATACCATGTATGCCAATAAAGTGCAATGCCATGCCCATGTCGTTCCTTATTTTCCGAAACATTACCGTTTCAACTTCTAAACCGTTAGTGCAATCCGACCCAAGGCACCTCCAAAGCATCACGAAGGGAGGATTGACTAACCATCTACGATCACAAGGCACCTCCAAGGCGTCGCATCCGGCCTAATTAGCTCAATCTTTAGTCCCCTCTAGACTACACTAACACCAAGAACCACTTGGCGCCTCCTAGGCGTTCGGTTTTCATAAACACTTTTCAAAAACAATTTTCTCAAAACGATTTCATTTGCTTCAAAACCACTTTCCCAATGGATGCATGAATACTTCATGCTTCTAAACACAATTCAACTTTTGAATTTCACACATGTTTTCCATAATAAATTTCAAAATGCGTAATTCATGCTTTCATTCAACATTGATTTAACATAGTAAACATACCAGGCACAAATTCTATTCCACATAGGCATTCATATATACGAAACATCAACTAACACATAATCACATTTCTTATATACATCATTTAAGCATGTTTTCTCATCAAATAACAATTAACACATAACCACATTTCTTATATACATCATTTAAGCATGTTTTCTCCTCAAATAACAATTAACACATAACCACACATCACTTGTATAACAATTAAGTCACCTTTGCAAGAATTCATAAAATTTAGGCATGCTTTACAACAATTAATGAAAGATAATTCACTAAAATCCAAGAAAATGTGAATTAAAAACCTCTACCTCAATTTTGTAGAAAAATTCTCAAAATGGGTCCTAAATTTGAAATCCCTAAAGTGCACCAAAATCACTTTTGCTCCAATCAAATCGTAGATATCGACGTGCTCTTCGTTTTGCCGCAAACGGCTCCCAAAAATACTAAAAGATGAAGGAGAAATCAAGAATTAAAATTTTGTTTTGAAAAGAAAAAGAAAATGGATCAAGAAGGGGGAGAGATAGAGAGCTTACGGGAGTGAGTGAAAATGTGAGGCCAACATGGCCTTTTGGCCACAATTTGTTTAAGTTTTTTAATTAAATTTTTTTCTTTTTCTTTTTATTTTTACACCACAATTCTATATATATATATATATATTCATACACATAACAATTCTCTACCACATATAACATATTAAATAAAATAAATGTGATGCAAATGGACCTAAACAACACCTCCGTACACGACAATTCTGGTAGGGGACCGTCCGGCCTGAAAAATGAAAAAATGAAAAAATGCAAAAATAACAAACCTTGCATTTCAAAGAGTCCTAAACACAATGAAATGTCCCAACCAACACTCGAACACAACCAGCACACCCTACGGTGTCCGGCACGCAAAACGAAAAAAGACGAAAATACCCTCGAAATATAAAAAAATTCCAAAAAATGAAAAATGGTAAAATTTGAAAACATTACACCACCATCTTTCACTTTGTGGCTAAGTATTTGGTAAACATCTGGCTCATTCTAGAGCTTACTTTGTGAACGTGCAAAAAGTATGTTTGCGAACTGAAATTCTTCAAGGCAGTCCACAAATGTTGACCGGAACATGTGGAAATGAACAACACCAAAAACTCGAAGGAGGTACAAAGGCGGTTCAGAAACCTATAAATATAGGCACACTCTGTAGATGGGAGATAACACAAGATATCATAGCAGGGCAACAACTTTTTGTGAAAAGGTTAGTATTTGAGAGGTCATTTGTGTGGTATAACTGTATTAAAGAATTCTTGTTTAGCATTTAATATTTTATTTTATTTTTTTGTGAGTGATTGGGTATAAAAAGGTTGACGGTTGAAACGAAATTTTTTGTGTAATCCTCTATATTGTTCATTTTACGATCTCTAGTGAAAATCCGACTCTTCATAGACGTAAGCGCATTTTGTCGAATCACATAAATTTATTTATTTTTGAGAGAAAGAGATTAGATTATTGCGAGTTCTTCGTCTTATTGCACCACATAAATTTTGTAAACAATATAATAATAATTTTTTTTTCAATAGCAAGAAACTAACAACCATAAATTGCTCATGGAAAACTAAAGTACTAGATTGCAGAAACTAACAAGCATAGATTGCAAGCTGCCAGAAGTTCAGGTGACTTCCGTTTAGGAATGCAGATGCTTTCCTAGCTATTGCTTTGAGAGCAGAGTCACCATTTTTTTTTTTCCAATTTCAATTTAGCCATACTAGGGAAATCATGAACCAAACTCAATACGATATCTGCAAAATACAGTGGAATCATCAAATCAAGCTAGTTTTTATATATTTCAGTTCTCTGTCAATGCCAACATATATATATATAGAGAAATTTCTAGGAGTTCAAGTACTACTCACCAATTAAACCAGAAACAATTACATGGATCATAAACTGCACACCATATTCGTCTGCAAAGGCTTTAGGATCTAAAGGATAGTTGGTTTTGGTTTCTGATAGCAAGTATGAAAGTGTCCCCTTGTAGCCATTTACAACAGCCTTGTGGACTGGAAATGTTCCTACCTGGTTTGGAATATGAAACAAAGCTGGGTTTTTCTTCACCAATATAACCACAGCCTTGGTGTTGACAACCATTGCAGCTACTATAAGGGCAGTGTACGTTCTTATAACTATCTTAGACAACAAGTCTCTCTAATGGGGTTAATTCCACCAATTTTTCCACAAAGTGAATTGCATTTCCTGTCCCAACTGCAATGATAAGGGTTGTTTCCTTGGCTTCTGCAATATTGGCTGTGACTGCTTCTTTATCTTGAGCCAAGAATTTTTCAGCCTTTTCCCAATCCCCCGTCATTGCAGCATTATACAATGGTAGGTACCAGCTTATATCCTTCTCTGCTGCTTTGCTTACTGTACCCATGGATGACTAAACATCATGTTTAATCTATGTTATAAACAACACTACTTATACAAGTGGTTATATATATATAGACATGGAGAAAAAATCAGATGGAAAGTGAAAAGCATGACATCCCTACAAAGGCAAAAGATAGCTGCAAGGATACCATTCGATGAGAACATCACTTAGAATAGGTATGTAAAGTAAGGACACCTTAGGCGTGAATTTAAGTCTAGTTGAGATTGCAAAACTAGGATTTTTAAGGGAAAATTTTGAACTTCCGCAAATTTCCACCAGTCACACTGCAACTTTTGTTGTTCATGTTTGATACTCATGTGGTGTTGGAATTTAGTGCATATTTTGTAAACTAAATTGGAGTACTGGAAAGGTTGTGTTGAATATGTGGCTCAATTTGAGGCTTGCATCACCCATAACATCATCTTCTTGGCCTCTAAGTATATGTGTTCATCAAGCTTTATTCTTGGCCTCCAAGAATATGTGCTCAGTAAGTCTTTTGAGTGGTCACCAAGTAGCCTCATTTTGGTGTCCCATTTTGGCTTTAAATAGCCTTGCCCTCTATGGTGTTGAAGCATCCTAAATCAATTGAGTGAATTTGTAATATCAGTGAGTGAGTGAGAGAGTTTTGGGTGTAATTGGGTTTTGGGTGTGAGCCACTTTGCCTTGTATCTCTTTATTTCAATAGTGAAATATTGTTCTGTCTTCTCCCCGTGGACGTAGGCATAGCCGAACCACGTATAAATCATTGTCTCGTTTGTGTGCGCTTTATTTTTTTTTTCTTGTCATTATTTTTCTCTTGTTCTCATAAACTCCTATTTGATCCTTTTTTCAAAGGAGTTGAGGAAAAAGGTGTCTGAGAATATTAGAGATGAACAGGCCGATGGTCTATTTATAAGAAGCAAGGTGGGACAAAGGGTTCTGCTAGTAGGGGCAAATCTAGATCTCATAAAAATGTGAAATGTTACTACTGTCATGAGCACATCATCAAGCACTGTCCCAAACTAAAGGCAAAGAATGGGAATGGCAAAGAAAAAGTTCAAGAAACAGCTTCTGTGGCAACTGCTACAACGAGTGATTCGAAAAGTGATAAATATGTTCTCATGACAACCTTGTGTTCAGGTACGTCATTTAATGACAGTTGGATTCTTGATTCTGGTTGCTCCGTTCATATGTGTCCCAGTTGGGATTCTTTCTCTTCTTATAAAAAGGTGAAAGGTGGTTCGATTTTGACGGCGGACAGGAAAGCTTTCAAAATTTTGGGAATTGGAACAGTTAAGATCAAGACGCACAATGGGTTAGTGAGAACATTGTCAGATGTGCGGCATATACCAGATTTGAAGATGAATCTTATTTCAGTAGGTGTGCTAAACTCCAAAGGTTACAAGGTTGTAACAGAAGGTGGAGTAATGATGGTCGTGATGGATTCTCTTGTGGTGCTACAGGGCACCAATGTGAAAAATTTATATCTTCTCCAAGGGAACACAGTAATAGGTGGAGCTTCTACAGGGTCTTTTACAGTTAGCAGAAATCTGCGTTCGGGTCTTGGCAAAAGAAGAATTAGAAAGAGGAGTTACGATCCTAGTTCTCAAAAGGGTTGTGAGTGGACTACACAACGTGGTGGGAGAATGAAATCCGTTTTTAGATGGCAACCGAAATTGCAGCAGTCCTTACAAGGAGGCAGACCCATGAGGACAGATGTGATATTGACTTGCAATAATCTTGGTGGCAATGAGATAGTCTATTCTAGTGCCATTAAGATGCGTGGGAGGCAAGTAGTTGGTCACAACAGAGATGCGAGGAAAAGTCAATGACGTCCTATTCTCCACAAGGGTGAGAAGATGATTTTTCATTACCAGCCGGTGGTTTGTGGGCGGTTGGAGAAGGTTGTTAAAGGAGATGTTAAACTTAGAATTTTCGAGGTTACTTTTGGTGAGCATTTAGAGTTTGACAGAAATACTGGAGGTATGCTTATGGCTGCGCAAGACATGCATGGGTTGAAGAATGAGAGCCCGAGGGTTAAGTTTGAGGATGACTCAAACTTAACTAAAATTCTTAATTAATTTGTTTTGTGGAGAAGACAGTTTGTTTTGCAGAGATACAGTGGCTCATTTGAATTTTCGCCAAGGTGGAGATTTGTTGAACATGTGGCTCAATTTGAGGCTTGCATCACCCATGACATCATCTTCTTGGCCTCCAAGTATACATGTTCATCAAGCTTTATTCTTGGCCTCTAAGAATGTGTGCCCAGCAAGTCTTTTGAATGGTCACCAAGTAGCCTCATTTTGGTGTCCCATTTTGGCTATAAATAGCCTTGCCCTCCATGGTGTTGAAGCATCTTAAATCAATTGAGTGAGTTTGTAATATCAGTGAGTGAGTGAGAGAGTTTTGGGTGTAATTGGGTTTTGGGTGTGAGCCACTTTGCCTTGTATCTCTTTATTTCAATAGTGAAATATTGTTCTGTCTTCTTCCCGTGGACGTAGGTATAGCCGAACCACGTATAAATCATTGTCTCGTTTGTGTGCGTTCTATTTTTTTTTTTCTGGTCATTATTTTTCTCTTGTTCTCATAAACTCCTATTCGATCTTTTTTTTCATAACAAACTGGTATCAGAGCTCGGGTTCGTATATATTGTGTATAGATACTGTTCATACGTACGGTATTGTTCACATATACTATTTGGGTACTGTTCACAAATACGGTATTTTCACTGAGTAATTTTTTGGGGAGTTTTTTTGAGATGTCGACCAGATATGAAATTGAGAAATTTGATGGCAAGATTAGTTTTAGTCTTTGGCACATCAAGATGCAGGCCCTGTTGACTCAACATAGTCGAAAGAAGGTGTTGTTCGGGAAGGACAAGTTGCCAGAAACTATGTCCAATGAAGACAAGGATGAGGTAGATGAAAAGGCGCACAGTGCGATTCTCCTGAATCTTGCCGATGAGGTGCTGCGTGAAGTTATTGATGAAAACACAGCGGTAAAGTTATGGCTAAAATTGGAGAGTCTGTATATGATGAAGTCTCTCACCAACAGACTTTACCTGAAACAGAGACTCTACACCCTTCGTATGAAGGAATGTATGTCTCTTAAGGAGCATATTGATAATTTCAATTATATTATTATGGATTTGAAAATACTGATAGTAAAATTGATGATGAGGATCAAGTCCTTATTTTGTTGTGTTCTTTGCCTCCTTCATATGAGCATTTTGTTACCACATTGCTCTATGGAAAAGACACTATTAGTATGGAGGTTGTTAAATCCTCATTGAACTCTCAGGAGTTGAGGAAAAAGGTGTCTGAGAATATTGGAGATGAGCAGGTCGAGGGTCTATTTGTAAGAGGTAAAGGTGGGACAAAGGGTTCTGCTAGTAGGGACAAATCTAGATCTCATAAAAATGTGAAATGTTACTACTGTCACGAGATAGGGCACATCATCAAGCACTGTCCTAAGCTAAAGGCAAAGAATGGGAATGGCAAAGAGAAAGTTCAGGAATCAGCTTCTGTGGCAACTGCTACAGCGAGTGATTCGGAAAGTGGCGATTATGTTCTCATGACAACCTTATGTTTGGGTATGTCATTTAATGATAGTTGGATTCTTGATTCTGGTTATTCCGTTCATATTTGTCCTAGTAGGGATTCTTTCTCTTCCTATAAAGAGGTGAAAGGTGTTTCGATTTTGATGGCAGATAGGAAAGCTTTCAAAATTTTGGGAATTGGAACAGTCAAGATCAAGACGCACAATGGGTTGGTAAGAACATTGTCAGATGTGCGACATGTACCGAATCTGAAGATGAATCTTATTTCAGTAGGTGTGCTAGACTCCAAAGGTTACAAGGTTGTAACAGAAGGTGGAACAATGATAGTCGTGATGGATTCTCTTGTGGTGCTACAGGGCACCAAGGTGAAAAATTTATATCTTCTCCAAGGTAATACAGTAACAGGTGGAGCTTCTACAGGGTCTTCTACAGTTAGCAGAAATCTGCGTTTGGGTCTTGGCAAAAGAAGAGTTAAAAAGAGGAGTTACGATCCTAGTTCTCAAAAGGGTTGTTAGGGGACTACACAACATGGTAGGAGAATGAAATCCTTTTTCAGATAGCAACCGAAATTACAGCAGTCCTTATAGGAAGGCAGACCCATAAGGATAGGTGTGATATTGACTTGCAATAATCTTGGTGGCAGTGAGATACTCCATTCGAGTGCCATTAAGATGGGTGGGAGGCAAGTAGTTGGTCACAATAGAGATGCGAGGAAAAGTCAAGGACGTTCTATTCCCCACAAAGGTGAGAAGATGACTTTTCGTTACCAGCCGGTGGTTTTGGAGAAGGTTGCTGAAGGAGATATCAAACTTGGAATTTCTGAGGTTACTGAAGGTAAGCATTTAGAGTTTGACAGGAGTACTGGAGGTATGCTTGTGACTGCACAAGGCATGCATAGGTTGAAGAATGAGAGCCCGAGGGTTAAGTTTGAGGATGACTCAAACTTAACTAAAATTTTTAATTAATTTGTTTTGTGGAGAAGACAGTTTGGTTTGCAGAGATACAGTGGCTCATTTGAATTTTTGCCAAGGTGGAGATTTGTTGAACATGTGGCTCAATTTGAGGCTTGCATCACCCATGACATCATCTTCTTGGCCTCCAAGTATATATGTTCATCAAGCTTTATTCTTGGCCTCCAAGAATGTGTGCCCAGCAAGTCTTTTGAATGGTCACCAAATAGCCTCATTTTGGCTATAAATAGCTTTGCCCTCCATGGTGTTGAAGCATCCCAAATCAATTGAGTGAGTTTGTAATATCAGTTAGTGGGTGAGAGAGTTTGGGTGTAAGTGGGTTTTGGGTGTGAGCCACTTTGCCTTATATCTCTTTATTTCCATAGTGAAATATTGTTTTGTCTTCTCCCCGTGAATGTAGGCATATCCGAACCATGTAAATTCTTGTCTCGTTTGTGTGTGTGCCTATTTTTTTTTCTTGTCATTATTTTTCTCTTATTCTCATAAACTCTTATTTGATCCTTTTTTCATAACAGGTTGAATGGAATGTTTGCTTTTATTTTTAGTAATATGATAATTGTATTTGTATGTGCAAGCCACTCACCAGATTTTGTTACGGGAGGAGGCTTCCTGCATTTATCTTTGGGGGCATGAGTCGTGTGAGGATATCCTTAACAAAAGAAAATTAGATTGACAGAAATGTGGTAAAAGTGCAAGTAGAAGGAAGACAATTGTAATTATTCAAAACACATGAGAAGTAACTGTAATTATTCAAAACACTGAGAAGTAAGTACAAGACCCTTAATTAAAGTAAGATAAGTGTAATTTAGCCTTAATTAGTCATGTGTCGTGATACAACGTCCTAATTGAGAAAGCGAACCAATGAACACTTAGCTTGTTCATACTAACACGACTACACGAGTCTGGCGTTGAGGCTTCAAGCGACTAGCGAAACATTAGAGGCACGGAATCCAAGTTCTCAAAGGCTTATATGGTTTCAAAAGACTAGAAGGAAACGATTTGGACAACTTTATAATTTTAAGCATTTTTTCTTCTCAAGAAAACGGTGAATGTATTTTATTTTTATTTTTATAATTATTAATTAGCATCTTGCTTACACATCTGAATAGTGTAATTAATTTGAAACCTAACAAATTGAGACACGGCATTAGTGCGTTTATTATAATTCAAATATTAAATATGGCAGTCCTCATTTCCCTTTTTTATACATCTTTAAAAATGTGAAAATTAGTTATTTTTAATTGCTAGTAACAACAATCTGATGCAATGACCTGATTTACACGTTTTTGCATTATATATATATATATATATATAGCTAGGAAGGTCATTTGTAATGTCAATGGGTTTGGCTTCACAATTAATTGTTCCACATATTTAATTTTTATTTTTTTCTAATTAATTTGAATAGAATTCACACTCGATCTACTCGTGTGAACTATAATTAATTAATGGATTTCTCCTATAAACTATGCCCTCCCTGCGACGCAAAGACTAGAAGAAAAGCATATGGATGTTCTTTCTTTTTTGCATAACTGAACGAATAATATGGATAAGAGTAGGGAACAGTATGTGCTGCTGAGAGGGGAGCAAAAGAGTAAAACCAGCGAATTAAGGAACAACCAAAGCACAAAACAGCCACAGATTGCATTTTGCAGCAGAAAAAAGGCCACAGCAACTTCTACAGCTAGCAGAAACCAATCCAAGCAGGGCCAAATAGAAAGCAGCAATTCTAGCCTGAATGCGGGAACACCATATCTACACATTTCTTTCTGGATATGCACGATGTGCAAATTAAGTCTTTAAAGTACTACGTACTATTAACAAAGACTCTTCCAGTGATCACTTTGTGGGTTCAAATGCAGAGTACCTGAAGCTGCAATTAACCCAAACTCACTCGTTCACCTTAATTCATTGATGTTCTTAGTAGAATGGACGCTCACTTTTCTTACCAAAAATGCCAGGACCATATGTTGAAGAGATCACATCCACCAGTAGGGGGAATTGTAAGGAAATAAACAAGGTGACTGGTAAACAGGCTAATCCAGCCACTGGAATAAGAATCCACGTTTTTTTGTGGCCAAACACGAGATAGAGCGTGGCACTGAAGGTAATAATCATGGTTGTTATTGATAGGAACAAGGTTACAAGACCAATTGTCAACCTGTTGGGTAGAGTGTAGAGAAAATCTTGTTCTGCATAGCTTGATGTAAGGATGGATAAGAACATTAACAAAGAAGCTATGGATGCAAACAGAGATATTGCATCTGATACTGCAAAGATGATGAAGGCAATTTCTTTGGAAAAATTTGGGAGGCCATCCAAATTGTTGCCACCTGGTACAGTAAAAGCTGCTGCAAACAACGTTTGAGATAAAGCCTCCACGACCCTCAAATGGAAATCAATTCAAACTTTTTTTCAAAGATGTAAAGGAAGTTCATCACAATCGATTCAAAATCAAGCTTTGAAGCTCACAAACTAACAAAGGAAATCGAATCAGATGATACTTTCTTTCTTTTGTATAAGAATATCTCAAATGCTTGTACTCAATTTTTATAAAGCAATAAAATTATTATTTGCTCTATATTTCGTTCTTTAATTTAAAGAATGAAATTTGTGTGTACAATGGCTGTCTTGTGTTGGTGAAAATAGTGCATAAAAATCATGCAAGGGGATGTGAGAAAAATTGGTGTAAAGAGTGAAAAATAAGGTTTTTAGAGAGAGAAAATTGTGGTGTCAAATGTGTGCATTGTAAGTTGGTGGCGTTACCAAACATGTATTAGGGCAATTTGGTGGTTATTTTTGGTAAGTTATGGGATGTACTAACTTTAAGGATGATTGTGTGCTATGTGGGAGCGTCATGGGTGCATGATAGGCATGAGCAAAATGTGTGCAAAGTTTTTTTTTTTGGGATAATAAAGCAAATATATTGATGATTAGAGAAGTACATTGGGCCCAAGAGAGGCCCAAGGGAAACATTTACATAGCAAGAGGAAAGTAAATACAGCCTCAACAAGACTAGGAAGCCCAACCAGGACCCAAGGCCCAGAACCAAACAGATGAGGATAGTCGTTGCTAACAATGAAGGCCGCTAGAAATGGATATCCCATCAAACATTCCGGTGACAAAGTTTCCCATAAGGCTTGCTTTTGGGCTTGTAAAGTGTGTGGAAAGCAAGTGTCATGTGCAAGTTATGGAAAGTGTTTAGGGTGTGCAAGGGGACTAAACATAGCCTTGGGATGGTCATGACCCAACATTACCTTAAAGAATGATAAGGTAGGTTTTATCCTTTTGAAGTGGGAAATGGAATAAGAATGCAATTCAAACTCCACGAGTGCAATGTAGGGTTAAGAACATGTCCACACCCTTCAAGTCCAAATTAGATCGAGTAAAAAGTTAATTTTACTCTCTAATGTGTTGGTGTGAGCGAAGATGACCACCATAACCTTAAGATTGCTCAACTGGAGATTTGAGAAGGCACGGTACATGGTAATTTTGGCCAGTTAATGAGGAGGAAATGTGTGTAGAAATGAAACTAAGGATATGAACTCTTGCCTAATCCTATGAAATGTTTGTGGGATAGGGACAAAAGTCTTTGTCTGACACTAGGAAAGGTGTCTATGCAATTTGAAGCTAAGGATAGATCGAAGTCTCTGTCTCACCCTTGGAAAATGTGTGAGTAATGTTATTATAAAGGTCTTCTCATCTCATGATGATTTCTTCTTACTTAATGAATTCATTCATTTGACCTTTTACAGATTCCAACAACCATGGTTCAATTTAGTGATTAAATAAAGAGAAGTCATAGTTCAATGACATTATTCATGTTGAAACTACGAATAGAATTAAGTCACAGTAAACCCTTGGAAAGAGCGTGTAGGAACTAGGGATAAAAGTCGGATAATGTGTGTTGGAACTAGGGATAGAAGACTGAGTCTAACCCTAATAAATTGTGTATTGGAATTGGGGATATAAGTCCTAGCCTAACCTAGGTGGAACTAGGAATAGTCTCAATCTAACCTAAGAAAGTGCCAGTTTTGCCTTGGACTTAGAAATACGGATAAAAACATGGTTTCAGCCCGATTTGCACTGTTTTTTATATTGTATTGCAGTACTATTATGTATTAGGGTTGGGTATTGATTGTTACCTGTTTTAACTTGCAGAGTATGAGGGACTGGTGGCGGCATTGTTACTGGCAGTTGTGGACCTGTTTCCACTTGTAGTGCAGGAAAGACTGGTGGTGGCAGTTGTGGACCTGTTTCAACTTGCAGGAAAGACTGGCGGCAGCAGTTGCGGACATGTTTCCACTTGTTGGGCGAGAAAGACTAGCGGCTGTAGTTGTGGATCTGTTTTGACTTGCAGGGAAAGACTGGCATCGACAATGTTGGTGGCAGCTGTTGACCTGTTTCAACTTCTAGGGTGAGGGGGACAAATCAACAGTGCATTAGAATAAAAGAGGAATAAGAAGAGAAAAAAAGAAGATTATTGCACATAAATTGAAGAAAAATGAAATTTTTGAGGAGAAGAAATAAGACGAAAAAAATTTGAGAGAAAACTTTGAAGGAAAAATAGGTTTTAAGAAAATGCCTAGGTTTTTTAAGAGAACAAAAATAAATTTGAAGGAAAAGAATTAAAGAAGTTTTTAGAAACAGATAATTTTATTAGAGCTAATTTATAAATTTTAGGGAGGCATTTTTAAATATTTACAAATTATAGGCATGGAATAATATAAAATTTAGTGGTCTCAAATGAGCCCAAGGGCATAGGGAATATTTTATCAATTTGAGGGTGGGGGAACCTTTCTCTAATCCCACCCCATAACCATGCTGGTTCTCAATCCTAACTCCCATTCCCGTTCCAAAATCATTTAACCACCTCCATAACTTTTTTAAATGTGCGGGATATTTTGCCATGATTGCCATCCCTAGGTGAGAACCACTACAACACTAATGAGTGCACAAGTGAAAAGTGGAGTTATGCTGATCAAGATCTTGCACGAACATAAGCAACATCTTGATTTCGCACGGGAGTGACTAAAGTGTTGGAGTGACTAGAGTGTTGGAGAAACTAGGCCCTTGACACTTATCTTCGTTCCAAAGAAGCAATAACAGGGGACACAAAAATATACTACGTCTCACAATTTTGAAATGCCAAATTTGAAACTGTGGGTCTGTTTCTGTCAAATTAATTAAATGAGAAACAGCAAGGGATAAAGGGAAAAAATAAAATAAAATTGATTTTGTAAAGGAACTTGCCTCCTCGTAGTTCATCATTGACTATACCTAGATTTGTTGCACAAATGGTTTCATGAATTAATAAGAGCATTCTATAATTGATAAACCAAGAATTTTAATTTTGCAAATTTTGAAGCATAAATTGTTTTCAACTTACCAAGCATGCTAGCAACTATAGCTGCTATAGCTGCTGATATTGCTATTGTGCTGTGTTGGTGACGAAGATGAAGCTATCCTTGCTGGAAATGATCACCCTCTACACTCTCTCTGTTTGATAGTGCGTGGCATATGTGTGTGTGTGTATATATATATATACATTTAGTCCAAGTTGTAGACTTGTATAGCTTCCTGTCAACTCTTTCGTACATTAGACACAGTTCGGGACACGAAACAGGATCCGGATTCCTCTAGACGTATGCAAGTTTGTGGACTTTCAATGTGCATTTAAAAGGAAGTGATAACGTATCAACACGTCAATTGAACTGCATCATCCCGTTGACACGGAGTCCAATGCGTTGACACGTTTTTGATAATTATTAAAAGTATTTTTAATAATTATTAAATTTAGAATATTTTTAATAATTTATTTAAATATATATATTTTTTACACTGTCATATCAACATATTTCTTTGTTTATTCATCTTTTTCATTCCATTAAAGAATTAACCATATATTAAGTAGGTTTGTAAAAGTTACGTGGGCTTCTAGCATGACATATGATTGGTTGTTATTGGGAGATATATGGTTACACGAAAGGTATAAAATAATTACTGGAATAAAAAATAAATAATTCAAAATTTTTGTGTAAATCTATCACATCACATTAAAAAAAAAACAAAAAAAAACAAAACGGTTGGAGATGATCTTAGTACAGTGAAGCGTTTGAATGAAATTATAATTTGGAACTATTAAAACTGCGTTCTAGAGGTTGAATATTTTATTTAATTCTTTTTTATTAAATTATTTTGTCCTCTTTATTTTTTATAAAGACAATTTTATGCATTCCTTAATAAAGTTACTATTATTAAATATGGTAATATCATATTAAAAGATATTATTTATGCATTCCTTAATAAAGTTACTATTATTAAATATGGTAATATCATATTAAAAGATATTATTATAAAATTAATAAATAATTGAAGTGATTAATAAACAATTGAAGTGTTTTAAAAAATTTATTACCAAATAAATTAATAAATAATTTAATTGTGAAAAGTACTTATTATAATGTATCACCAAATACCTAATATATTTTTTATTGACCGCAATTTTTTTACAGTTTTATTGATATATATATATATATTTCCTAACAACAATTCCAAACAGATTCTAAAAACTATGTACATGAATTTTTTTTTTTTTTTAAATATTTTTTTTTTTTCGGTGATGTAGTGATTTTCTATACCGTTACACTTGCATTTTTTTTTTTAACCAAAGTGTTAAAAATTATTGATATAAATGTGTGTATAACAGTGATGAGTTGTGTTACATTATTGAATTAAAATGCATTACATATTAGTCGAGCTCAAAGTCTAGAAAAGAATATCCGAGTGCATATGTTTTACACTACATATTCGAAGTCACAGGAGTTTTTGGTAGAATTAATTAATTGAGAAAGCAATGACCAGTAACCAACTAGCTATTCTATATAACAGAAGCATGACTTCGACGAATTTATAATTGTTTTGAATGAGGGACTGAATATACAACTAAAGACATGAACCGGCCGGCAATGAGGAAGCCCTTCTTTTATATATACCTCACTAATCAGAGTAAACAATCATCTTGATGCGTGCGGTACCTACTAGGGTGGTAAACACCTAGTGGAGGTAGCTCGCAATAAATTGGTATCTACAGAGTGAAGTTACCAATACGCCCACAGGACGTATAACAGGAGTGAATGGAAGAAACTGGGCCACAATGCAAGCGATGTTGACACGAGTCTCCATAAAAATTGATGCGTTTGAATTGGGGCTTTCCTTTTTCAGAAATTTTGGATGGTCCATTTGATTATTTGGTGGATTAATTTTTTTAAAAAAGTTTCTCTTAGACGTTATTAAAAAACGTTTAATTTGACTTAGATTAAATCCTCTTCTATCCCTTGCGGGTCTGGGTCAAGGTTCATAGTCCGAGAAATTATTAAATGATGTTGGTTCATTTGATACTTCGTGAATTAATTTAATAAAAGCCTTCTCTCAAAAGTTGTTAAAAAAGTTTGATTTGATTCATATTAAATCATTTTTTATCTCTTGTCGAGAAATTATTAAATAATCTTGATCCATTTGATGCTTGATAAATTAATCTAATAAAAATTAATAAATTATATGGTACGTTATGGTCGAGTTTCTGTCAATATACAGTTGTTTCTTCAAACCATATAGTCACAATCAGCGCACAATACAACTGTATATTGACAGAAAGTATATCGCTCTGAGGGGCAACAAAAGAATAAAGAACCAGCAAAGGATATAACAACATCGCACAAAAAAAGTCACAACTGGATTAAAATATATATATACATACAACACGATGAGCATGCTTGATTGCAGCAGAAAACAAAACAAGCAGAGCCAAATAGAAAGCAACATTTCTAGGCTTAATGTGGAAAGTGGATTCAGATGCAGAGAAGCTGAAGCTGTAACCCAAACTCCTTCACCTTAATTCTTTGGTGGTGTTAGTAAAATATACGCTCACTTTGCTTGCCGAAAATGCCAGGACCAAACGTTGAAGAGATCACATCCACTAGTAGGGGGAATTGTAAGGAAACAAACAAGGTGACTGGTAAACAGGCTAATGCAGCTACAGGAATGAGAATCCATGCCTTTTTGTGGCCAAACACAAGATAGAACGTGGCACTGAAGGTTATCATCATGGATGTTATTGAGAGGAACAAGCTAACAAGGCCGATTGTCAAACTTTTGGGTAGAATGTAGAGAAAATCTTGTTCTGCATAGCGTGATGTGAGGATGGACAAAAACATTAACAAGGAAGCTGTGGATGTGAACAGAGAGATTGCATCCGACACGGCAAAGATTATGAAGCCAATTTCTTTGGAAAAATTTGGGAGGCCATACTCATTTTAGTCGCCACTTACAGTAATAGCCGCTGCAAATACTATAGTGGCAATGAGTGCTGCTGCAATTGTGCATGAATTTGCTGTGTCTTTCATCCATTTCTCTCCTTCACTTACCAAATCCTTGTGTTCCTCACTGAATAACATTGCTGAAGTTTTCTTGCAGTTGTTTTCTATTTCCTTGTCAGCAGGGATTACAAACTTCTCCACTTCCTGTATGATAGCCATAACTTTAAAACAGTGGACAACTTTGATGTGTAATTCTTATATGAAGTGGAGTGTTAAATTTTGAAATTATATTTTATTTTTATATACAATTCAACTACGGAAATTTGGAGAGTGAAAATGATTTTGGGGCTAAAAGTTTCATGCAAAACAGAGAACCACTATTCGTAATGTTTGGAACAAGAGAAATAGGTTTACTACCTTAAACCATTGTAACTCACACTGCATCTGCAGAGCTGCACCCGAAACAAGATTGAGTTTATGTGGAGGTGCCAACTTTCCAGCCAAGTGCAATATAGTGTTACCATATATGTCTCTAGAGTGCGTTGTGTACTGCTTAAGCTCACTCATCTGATAGATGACGTTGATTTTTCATTACGGTTTATAACTGCAACTTGAAATATGTAACGTCGATCTCCATAATGGGCCCAAACTGAATTGGGAAATGCGTCCACTTCTTCTTCTAAAACCTCATGAATACCCAGCCTTGCTGCCTCGAGGACTGTATCTAGGACAAAGTCCCAGATTCTGTTGTAAGGACATGAATGAATTCCTGTGCACAAACATTTGACAAGTTGAAGAGCTTGATGATGCCTCAACATTTTCTCTTGGATATGCTTGATATGCGGTACTGCATGCAATTTAAGGATGTCACAGCAGCAGGTTTCAATTGAAAGTACTATGTGCACTTAAATGGAAATTTGTTGTCTCTCACCTAATTCCATGACGTTGGCAAGTAGGACAGGCGATTTGTGGCGTAATGTTTCTGAAAACAAAGTGGTAGAATAATTAATTTGCAAGGAAAACAGCAGATTCATGGACTGGCACATATGACATTGCTAATCAAGTAATTTAAATTGCCTATATGTATGCCATGCAATCAAATTAGCTACACAAACTTTAAGTTTTAATTTGGGCATGCATATAATCTGGCATTTGATATCTTAAACAGAAATTTAATAATGACAAACCAGGGATGCAGAAGTAGTTTTCTCTGCCAGTCATCTGCAGAAACACTTGACAGTTGTCTGCTGGATTCTCAATGTCACAGCATTTGGATTGTTGTTAGGGTAGTTCTCCAACTTCACAGGAACACCTTCAAGACAATATATATATATATATATATATATATATATCCTGAGTATACACTAATCATTTTCACTTTTAATCAATTTTGTAAGGTTTTCTGGTATAAATAATCCCTTGATCGATCATTAAGCTCTCCATACATCTAGTCCATTCTGTTCATAAACCAACTAGTACGTGCAATTTGATTCACATGCAGTAGGTAGTACTCCTCTTGTCTGCAAAAGTAAGATTGTGAATATATAGTTAAAAAAAAAAAAGAAAGAAAGAATTGGGGTGGAGAAATGAACTAACGAGAATAGATGAAACCCTGCCAAAAGTTGAGGCGACATCCACTCCTGAATGCAGATGCCTTTCTGGCTATTGCTTTCAGAGGATGGTCACCACTTGCAAGTTTCTTTGTTGTAGAGGCAAAACTAGGGTGGCGATGAATCAAATCCAAAGCCACGTCTGTAAAAGTACAATTAACCAATCATCATATAAATTAAATCAAGTATTGATCATCCATTTCTTGATTTTTGATCTTAGTATATTATAGTAATTGATTAAGCTTACTGACCGAAGAATCCAGAAACTATCACCAAAACCAGAAGCTGAACACCAGATTGGTCTGCATATGGACTGGGATGGTGATGGTCTTTGGTCGCGTTCAGTAAATATAAAAGCGTTTCCTTGTGGGCATTCAAAGCAGCTGAGTGCACTGGAAACAAGCCATTGGAGTCCATCTTTTGAAGCAAATCTTCGCTTTTGTTCACCATTATAATTGCAGCCTCTGTGTTGCCAATCCTGGCTGCAACGCTGAGGGCAGTCTCGCATTGGGCATTATGTAGAGCAAGTGCCTCCCTTGGCATTAGTCCTACCAACTTCTCCACAAAATGAATTGCTGCTTTACCTGTCCCAACTGCTCTGTGGAGTAGCGTTTCTTTGTTGACATTGATATAAGCTGTCAATGCATCTTCATCTTGGTCCAACAATCTTTTCGCGCTGTTCCAGTCGCCTTTCATTGCAGCTTTGTACACTGGCAAATACCTTCTTAGATCCTGCTCCTCTGCTTTTGTTCTGCATGTGTAATATAGATGATCACACCGATCTAGTTTAATTATATTATAATTGCAACAAACAGGGGTATACAACTTACTAGTGTCAGACGGTTGTTTTGAGATGGAAGATGATGCCATTCTTGTTCACAAGTGATGATCAATCACTACTACTGGTAAATATATAGATATATGCTGATAGAAATTGGTACTTAATATGAAACACGTACTATTCTACACAAAGATATATACACATATATCATCATCTGTTTACAAGCCATTGAGCGAATCGGGTTTGAGTGAGCTTCAACTGCAAGCTGCATCTGTTTCTGTGAGAAGGCCAAGTATTTTCATTTTTATAAATCACTGTGAAAAGAGATGCTCTTCTTCTGCTATTCAAAGGATATTATATATACGGTTTTTCCTACATGATGATATTGAAGTGTCCAATTCCTGCTGGGTAGTGAAAAAAACTCAGAACACAATTTGTATGCTCCATTTAACAGTGTCCGTACTAATAACAATAACTACCATTCCTCCCTCCCTTTCAACTCTCTTTTAAACTCATGCTCCTCTATCCCAGACCTTAAACGAATCCATGCTCTCATGATAGTCACTAATGGGTGCCCCATGCATGCACTAACCTCTTCTTGCTGTCTAGCCACCGCCTTGGACTATGCCCGGAAATTGTTCGACGTAATGCTCCACAGAGATGTGTTCCTTTGGAACATCTTGATTCGTGGTTATGCCGATTTGGGTCCTTGCCAAGAAGCTATAATTCTTTACAGAAACATGCATCAGACTGGAATCTTACCCGATAACTATACTTTCCCCTTTGTTGTTGGGTGTTGCCGTGGTGCTCTCCAAAAAATTGAGGCTTCACGCTTAATTGTACTGTACCATTTATTTTATTATTATTTTTCTTCCTTCAATAGAATTCACAATCTAGTCTACTCAATATTTGCTGAGGATGGAATATATATATATATATATAGGGGTAATTCCACCTACATCCTGACTTTTGCCTATATTCCACACATACCTTTTTACATTTAATAATTCCACCCATACCCCATGTCAGTAACCACCGTACAGTTTACCAACGGAAATGTGTGATTTTACTGTTTTACTCTTGAATTATATATTATATATATATATTAAAATTTATAACTTAAAGGAAATGACTTTAACACCCTCACACATATATACATACATACACTATATATATATATATATATATATATATATATATTTTTTTTTTTTCTTTTTTTCCTTTCTTCTTCATTGTTGCCGGCGACGAAGAAACTATGCCACCGATAGAATACACAAACAACAACAATAGAAAAAGATGGTTCTTATCACAGTCGAGCCATTCTCTTTACTGCCCGGTGTTCAATTGCAAGGACAGTTCGCTGGTTCTTATCACAGCCTCTATCCTCCGTCGCGAGACCACCAACGTGTAGTGAACAAACCGTGAAGCTTCACCGTACTGAACTGGGTCGAGTTAGCTGTGAACTTCGCCGCCATGGTCTTTGATCTGGCTTACCTCGTTCTTGTCTAGCGTTACGACGATGATTACACACTCTCTTTGTATCACAAAAAACTAATCTTCTCAAGCTCATCACAAATAGAAATAGGGACTTTAAAGCACTGAAATCCTCTAGCTTTTCTTCCATTAGGATGATAAGTGAAAGGACCTATAAATCAAGCTATTTGTTTTCCCCTTTGAAACCTTGCATATTTGATATATTTTCTAGCAAACAACCCAGAACCTGGGTATCAAGTGATGAACCCATCTTTTCCGGCGACGGCATCTTCAACACCGATGGCAAGAGCTGAAACTTCCCCAGCATTTTCCAATGGTGCATCTGTGCTATTACAAACTAATTGAATCTTTGAATTCTTACTGTTTGAGTCATTTTGGAAGGGATTTCATCATCAGAGTCCTTGATATCACTAAAAGATTGCCGGCTGTCGACGGTGCACCACGGACTACTTCATTCCCCAAGATCGGGATTCGCCGCGCCTGAAATTTTCTTGAGCAAACCACTGAGGAAACTTCTTGTTTTTATCTGGTCAAGGAAAAAAACACATGAAAGAGAGAGTGAAAAAAAAGTTGAAAAACCCATCTTCTCTGGAGATGGTATCTTTAACGAGGACGGCGAGAGCTGGAAGTTTCATCGTCTGTCAGTTCAATCTCGCCATTTCTCACCATATTTGCCCCAAAAAAAACTCCAACTTCAAACCCAAACGGCCAATACCCAAACTAAAAGCCTTTTCTCACTGTATGTAAGTAAATTGTTCCTGTAACGACCCGTACCCAAGGGTCTGAATCACTAACCGGGTCCTTACCCGAACCCGAGATCAACTAAGGGCTCTACCGTCCTTTCCTATGTCAATACATAATATACGTGTCATCCCAGGGTTTATAAAAAAATAAAAATAATAAATAAATAATAAAATGAGATCATAGCTACAAAGTATATCAAAACGGTCTACTAACCCATCGAACCCTGTGGGGGAGCGTTGTTCTCCACTTTTAGTCCGTGTTCTGAAAAATGTTAAATATAAGGGGTGAACAAATTACTCAGTAGGAGGTGCCTAAGACACACCTCTTATGACCCCGTGAATCCACATAGAGAATAGAAAGCATGAGAACGGGATCATATCTCGGGGGTCGAGTAAAACCACTGTATCATCAACAAACATACATATATCAACCAACTACCAAATGCACCAAGTATGCCAATGATCGCCATGCCATGCAATGTCACTCCCCATTTCCGAAACAATATCGTTTCAACTTCTAAACCGTTAGTGTAATCTGACCCAGGGCACCTCCAAGGCGTCACGAAAGGGGGATTGGCTATTCCACGACCACAAGGAACCTCCAAGGCATCGCATCCGGCCTAGTTAACTCAATCCTTAGTCCTCTCTAGACTACACTAACACCATGGACCACTAGGCGCTTCCTAGGCGTCCGATTTTCACAAACACTTTCCAAAACAATTTTCCCAAAATTATTTCATTTCATTTCAAAACAAATTTTTCCTTTCTTGCCCAATGCAATGCATGAATGCTTCATGCTTTGATCACCATACCATTTAAGTTCAGAATTCCATACAATTCATCTATTTCTCATTTGCATGCTTTTGGAAAAATTAAATTAATAAACTCTCAATTAACAATTTTGACAACATAGTATTTAACATTCAAGTATTCAAGTGCATATAATCAAAATCAATAAATAATACAAGCAATTTTTATCACTTTCAACACAATATACACCTTGTCATGCTCATTATACATAAAATGTCTTTAACCATAAACAATACTCATAATTTAATAACAACTTTTATAAGAAAAATCACAAAAGTCGAAGAAAATTGTGGATTAGAAACCCCTACCTTGAAAAAGAATTTTCCTCGCTAGATCATCAAAGCCTCCAACTTCCAGCCTCCTCTGCAACTTTCGGACCTTTCCCTGTCTGTTCATCTTGGCTTTCTCGGCTCACTCTCTCTGCTCACTCTATCTTTCTCAACTCACTCTCTCCGTGTTCTCTAATTTATCTGAGTTTCCCTCTCTGTTTGCTCTCTCTCTCTTATTCCTCTTCTCTGCATTTTTTTTGTATACTTAGTGCACACAATAGCTGAACAAATAATGCAAATCCGCCGACCTCAGCCAACAAACCCACATGTATAAAGCACAATTTTGACCCAAAAAGTCTTTAGTGGACCCCCATTATCGCCATCATCTTATCTTCTTATCATCTCGCTACAACACCCATCACCTAACCACTAACTATCACTCCGAAACTTACAACCCACGTGAAGAAATTAGAAGCAAAAGAAATGTTGCCAAACAAAAATCCTTGTGGGACCCGCCATCCACAAATTCCCATTTTCTTCTCCCATTTTCCCACGGCTGGCAGTGCATGGCAGCCCATCACTTTCTCTCTCTTTATCACATAACCACCTTCGACTGATGCATGCACCAAATGATACACCACAAATATATATATATATATATATATATATATATATATATATATACAAAAAACCAAATTCAACCCAAACATCATCTAGTGGTGGACCCCACTTCATTACCATTTCTATCTTTCTTCTCCTATTTCGGTACCTACTTGCATTCTTTATTACCTATATATATGTTGCTACATATCAAGCATCCAACAATGAAACCCACTAATTTAATGAATAATAATAAATAAAAAATCCACAAAGAACAATTACTAAGGACACAAAATAATAATAACCCAAGTTTAATCCTTATAAACTCTCCAATTAAATAGTCAATCTCCAATTTAAAATTAAAATGATTAATTTTGTCATCTAAAAATTATGGGATAAATGTAATTTAAATTCCTAAAAATTCGGGTCATCACAGTTCCTTACAGGAACCGGTCCATTTGATGACTCCAAAGAATCAAAATCGCCAAGGGAAAATCCTCGAGGGACGAAGGATGTCATGCTGCCATGGAACCCACACCTTCGTCGCGGCGGCGGGTTCAGTCATCACCGAGAAGGCCTCTTTGGGTATGCTCCTAGAACAGCACGTGGGTTGCCATCTGTAAAGTGTGCTGGGTCGGAGGTTCTTTTAGCTTCGACATACTGATGGCGGTATAGGAGGCTGTTGACGACGGCATCAACGTCGGCAAGTTCATTATCGTCAATGAAGAACTCGAAAACATGATTGAAGGATTCGACCGCCTAACCACTGTCGCTCGTGAACTTGCCGCCGCTTCGGGTTCACGTGGAGGATCACAAGGCGACGATAATGGCCGGAATTGAAGGGCATCCTCGTCTCGTGCTCCGATGTTATCCTCGAGATCGGTCCCGATACTGAAAATCTCATCGAGAAGCTCATCAACGCCGGCAAGTTCATTATTGCCGTTGATTTTGACCCTCGTAATGTCTTTGAGTTGTAGCGTGTGTGTACAATGAATATTAGAGAGAGACCCTCGATGAAGCTCATCAACGCTAGTGTGTGCGTACAGTGAATATATGTGTGTGTGAGAGTCAGAGAATATATGAAGCGTATGATATATTGTTGTTCTTGTCACAAGGGTAGTTTTGTAACTCTACAATACTCTATGAGGTTAAAAATGTCATTTCAGACATTGTGAAGGGCAAAATTGACCTTGCACTCATTTATTCCTCCTAACATCAGCACTAGCCGTCTATTACTTAACGGCAGGGGGTAACTTGGTACGTCTGGTCAAAGGTTAGGGGTTGTGCATGGAATATTAAAACCTAGAAGGGGTGTAAGTGAAATATGGTCAAAGGTTAAGGAGTGTAGGTGGAATTAACACCCCCCCCCCCCCCCCCCACACGCGCGCGCGCACAAGTAAAAAAATATAAGCTGGCTAAAGAGATATGCATGTCAGTGACATGCAGATTCCAATTTTAAGATCTCATGTGTTCTGTCTCCTTTAAATTATGCCTATTCGCCTTGCTTCCGCTTTTCCACATAAATTAAAGTTATTCGTTTTAGAGCCTGACCCATTTCCTTTTTTCTTTTTCTTTTTTTCTTTACAAATAACCTTGTCCTTTTGGAGAATCAAACTCTGCACCTTCTTTTAAAAAGAAAAATAGATAATACTCGTAGTTACTTATTGGTGTTTTAAAATGACAAATTATATTTAGGAATAAAATGATTTTGTGAACAGATTATGTTTCGATAGCTAGGAGGGTCATTTGCAGCGTCAAAGGGTTATTTGTAAAATATTGCTAATTAACATAGGAATTTTTTTATTTATTATTTTGTTTAATTAAACAAAATAATGAACATATTAGTTATTGGACAATATCAATACTTAGGTCCTCTTATTGGAGGATAATCCGCCAGTTACAATTTAGACATATGTTTAAAATTTTAAATTTTTTAAAAATAATCATTACCTATTTTCTTACGAGTTAAACCGAATCCCAAAGTTTTTTTTTTTTTCCTTTCTACAATTGTTTCTATACCCAAATTGAAAAATTACTAAATTTATTTAAAGAATGTACTATATCAAATGTTGAATAGGAAAAGAACAAGAGTTTAAAATATTATATGAAAATTTGATGTTAACATATACATGAATAGAGCTTTTCTTGTATATATATATATATATTTCTTAGTCAGAGTTAGTTTTTCTCATAGATCTCAGCTAGATCTATCTTTAGCATCCCTTCCAAGTTCCCAACACCTTCAATTGATAGGGGTAAGGGTTGG